AATCAGCCGCCGAAATCGCAGCCGAAATTCAGCCGCCGAAATTTTTATTACCCCGTCGCAAGCGAAATCGATGTTCCAGTAAGCGCGATGACGCCGCAGACACAGGCATAGAGTCACAGCCAAGGTCAAATTCGGTCTTTTCTCGGCGGAACCATTTGGAATTTCGGCGGCAATTTCGGCGGCAATTTCGGCGGCAATTTCGGCGGCAATTTCGGCGGCGATTTCGGCGGCAATTTCGGCGGCAATTTCGGCGGCAATTCTGGCGGCCCTTCCGACGGCTCTTTCGGCGGCTCCTTCGGCGGCAATCTCGGCGGCTCTTTCGACGGCTCTTTCGGCGACCATTTCGGCGACGATGATTTTGCCAACTGTCGACAATGGCTGCCGGAAGCTCGCGGCACTCGGCGACCCCGGCGGGCCCTGAGAGGGCCCTCGAAGGGCCTCGCCAGAAAGCGTCTGCGAAGTAGCTCAAGCCATGCGTGATTTGCACGCGATAGCATGCGCAACGTGCAATGTGAATGCCTCGCATTATACGTCAGCACGCTCTAAGGTGCGTCTGGGAACCACCGCGCGGCAGGGCGCGCCTGCACACTGAAACTCTGAGAAAAACCTCAATTTCGTCTAGAATGGATTTCGGCGCGCGCCCCTTTTCGTCTCCAAAGAAAGAGCCACTATGAATCCGATGCAGCTCCCCACCCCGGCGCGCTGCGGCGCCGCCCCCCGCAGCTGCTGCCGGGGCCTCCCCGTCGGCCAGGCCGCTGCCGCCGCACCCGCCGCAGCCTCCCCTGCGTGCGGGTGCCCCCGCGCCCGGGCTCCCCCTCTCCGCGCCGACGCCTCGCCGCCCCGCGGGCTCGGAGCGGGCCCCGTCGGCGGCGGCGGCGGGACGGGGGCGGGGCGAGGGTGAGCGTGGCCTCGTGCCGCCGCCGTGGCCCATACCGCTGAGCCGGTCCCCTTCCCCCCCCGCGCCGCCCCCCTCCGCGCCGCCCCCCTCTCGCGCGCGGGCCCTCTCGCGGCGCCGTGCCCCGGTCTCGCCCCGGCGCGCGTGCGGATCGCCCCCGCCGCGCGCCGCGGCGCAGGCAGAAGCACGAGCACCTGGCCCCCCCCCCACCCGGCATGGCACACCACGGCCGGTGGGCCCCGGCGGTCCCAAAAAGCTCCCTGGGTGCACCCCTCGCCGCGCAAGCCTCGGCGACGGGCGACCGCCCACCGCGGCCGCCAGGCCCCCGCGGGGCCTGGTGGTCCGGAGGCAGCCAGCCTCGCCTTCTCGGGCGGGAGTCGCTCGGAGCCAAGAAACACACAGCAGGAGCTCGACCGCAAGGAACCGCCCACAAGAAATTTAAACCCTGAGACCCCAGCACGTCCGATGCTTTTTGGTGCGGGGACGCCACGCTTTCCACAGCAGAACCATCGAAACCCAACAACTACAAAAACAAAGGCACCCTGGAGGCAAGCAGGGTGCTTCTTGGCATGGGATTCCACCGTGTGGTCTTCGCTGCCGAGAAAAGAGGATGCGGTGTCCTCCACGACCTTGTTGGTCAGCACGTAGATGGTCAGGTCGACCCTGGGCCACTCATGCATGGCCGTTAGCGTCTCGTGGAGCGCAGCGTTGCGGCGGTTGGCCCCGCCGATGCGGCCCGGCACGTAGTGAGAGATGACCTCGCTTCCTCCTCCTCAAGATCCTCCTCATCGTAGCTTTCACCTTCTCCATCACCCCTACCATCATCGTAATCCTCGCCCTCCTCATCATCAGCAGCATGACTTTCATCGTTCCCCCTCCTTCCACATTCCTCCTTCCTCCATCATCGTTCCCCCCTCGTCCAAAACCTCCCTCCTGCTCGTCCCCTTTCTCCCTCCGCTCCCTCCTCATCCTCGCTCCTTAGTTTCTCTACATTCTCCCTGTCCTCCTCGTCCTTCTCCTTTGACCTCCTCCTCCTCCTCCTCCTCCTCCTCCTCCTCCTATTGCCTTCTTAGCGTCCTCGTTCCTCATTTCTCATTCCTCCTACCATCCTCCATCCTCCTTCATCCGTCCTCCTTCACCTCGCCCCTTGTTCCTCCGGGCAGCGCTGGCCAAGCGGGGAGGGGGGATGGGGAAGGAAGGGACAGATGGAGGGAGCGCGGAAGCCGAGGAGGATGAGGAGTAGCAGGAGGAAGAGGAGGTAGAGCGAGATGAAGAGGTGAAACAGGACGAAGGATGGGGAAACCGCAAGATACCGGACCAGAGTCTCGAGACGAGTCCAGCGGTGGAGACGAGGGGAAGACGAGGGACGGATAGCGATGTGTGCATCTCCTTTCCTCCTCTGAAAAAAAAATGAGGAAGTAGAGGAGGAGGATGCCGTGGACCGCCAAGACGCTCCTCTTCTCCATGTCGGGGGCACGCTCGAGGTCCTCCGCGATGTAGGCCCCGGTCCTGTCGGTGCCCGTCCGGAGGGCCTCCGCCTGCAGCCGCAGCATCTTGCCACCCCCGCCGGTCTTGTTGACCTTATTGGCGTCAGCCCGGAGCGACTCCTCCGCCTGGAACCTTGCGGCAGGAGGAGGAGGAGGAGGAGGAGGAAGAGGAGGAGGAGGAGGAGAGACGCACCAGGCTTAGCTGCCCCGATACGCAGCACGCAACACGTTGCGTGTCGACACAGAGCTCAACACGCAGACTGCACACGCAGGCTTGCCGCTGTACTTTGTTGGCAAAAAACGTGGGCCAACACGTTAAGCTAACATGCAACGTGTTTACTTGAACACGGCAGGTGTTGCGTTTCAGGCGTGCCAGGGCAACTAAGAACCAGGGTAAGGAAGGAGACGCAGATCTCCGCATGGCGCTTCTGCCAAGCACCGCTTCGCTAAAAAAGGGATCTAACCGAAGTGCAAGAAATGCCACATCAATGTCCCACAGGGGGAACAGGGGAGCCCGCCGCAATTGCGCCTAAGACTACCTCACACATTATTCAGAAATCGTGCTCTCGCATCAATGCCAGCTACTTGTTTAGTGCTGACGGCCACGACCACTTGCGGAAGACGACGCCAAGACGCACATGGCCGTGCTCTCACCGCTGCCCCCATCTAGCTCACATTACACTCCTCCGCCCGCCTCTTCGCCGTCGCTGCTGTTAGAGTGCCTTGCGGGGGTAGCCCCTCGACTCCAGCTTCTGGGGCCAGTTTCGGGTTCGGGCCTGGGGGCCATCCAAAACTGATCTGGGACGAAAAGATACCCCAGGGGAAGAGGTCGGGACCTCTGGAGCCGCGAAAAGAGAAAAGGGAGATGTGGGGGGAGGGGAAGACGCACCGCGGTCAGGGAAAGAGACGCGATGACCAGGAGAAGGAGTCGGGAGAGGCGGATCATCGACTCCAAAATTCGAATTGGCCTGCCTATGAAGGCGGCGGAGGGAGAGGGGAAGGGAGATAGGAGGAGGAGGAGGAGGAGGAGGAACGACGCTGTAATACATCCTCCCTTCACGTTCCCTCTTCAGAAGTCCTGATAAGAAACGATTGCCATTGCGAGAAGTGTCCAACTGGAGGGTAACCGTGTGAGAATTCTGTTTTGTCAATACACCATTCCTGGAACTTCGGCGCCGCGATTCAACGTGACTGCTGCGTCCAGACAATCCTAAATCATGTCCGAACACGGTTCCCGGGACGCTCCAAGGTAACGTGACTGTTGCGTCCTGCAAAACCTCTACCGCACCAGGACACCACTCCTGCGACTTCAATCGTACGAACCCTTGAAACACTTAACAGCGTTCAGCACGAATGTGCGCGGCGCCAAGGCGCCAACCACACCTTGACAAGAAGCTGCCATCCTTGCAAGGGTTGCAATTGTTCAAAACGAATATTCGCGAGGCTGGGGCGAGGGCTGCAATTGGAAAAGACTACACCCTCCATCAATGAAACTGTTGCAACCGTTGAACACGAATGTTTGGAACAAATCGGGACTTTCGAACGCCAAATCAAATCAAGCGAGAACCGCATTTCGCATTCCACCGGCCATTTATCCCTGAAGCTGATGCTAACTGTAGAGACGACTTGGCATGGCGCTCAAACGAGAACCTCCTTTGAAAAAAGGACCCACCCTCCATCCGTCAAACTATGCTTCAAGATCATAAGACGTGAGGGGTTCTCAGGCGAAGCGCTCAGCCTTCCCTACCAGCAAGTCTGGGAGTGCGACAGGGAAGAGTAACTAGAATTTGTAAGTTGAAGGGATAGGACTGGAAGAGGAGGAGAAGGAGCGCCAGCAGCAGTGAGGGGATTCATACGGGAAGAGGAAGGGGGTGAGGAGGAGTGGGGTGGAGGAGCGGGGGAGTACGAATGGGGGGCGGACGAGAGACCGCAGAGAGCAGGAACAAGAAACCCTGAACGGCCCAGGATAGGGTGGGATGGGCAGGGGAGAAGGAGGACGATGGGCAGAAGGAGAAGGGCATGCAGGAGGAGAGCGATAAGGATGGAGAGGAAGGATGAGAAGGGGGTGGAGAGAAGGGTGAGAGGAGACGGTTTGGGAGGGCATGGGTGAAGAGGGAGGGATTTGAGAAGAGAAGGGTAAAGACGGGTACGGGAGGACGAAGAGATTGACTACAACGACTTCAGCGCCTCTGTGCGTAGGTGTCGGAGATGCCGACAGCGCCTGCGAGCAAACCCAGGGCGGAAGCAAGCCGGATCAGCGCGTCGCCCGCCATTCTGGGCCGACGCGATGATGGGAAATATGTAAAGATATGTAGATGAAGTAAATGAATAAGGCGCGCCACCGTGGTCGAAGCGGCTTGGGCCCAAGCCTACCCGGTGGGCGACGCTGACGGGAGGGAGGAGGCGGAATCGGCTCAGGATGAATCTGAAGAGGGAGCGCCCAGAAAGAGGAGGAGCAGGAAGAGAAGGAGAAAGGGGACGTGGGGAGAAGGTAAAATATAATCTGGGGCGGAGGAGAGGGGGGGGGGGAAAAACGAATGAAGGTGAGAAGAATCAGGATGACGATGCGGAGAATGACGAGGAAACAGGGGGCGTCTCCTGGCGGAGGGACAAATTTAGGAGCTCAAGCTCGCTCCCGGGGCTCCATTGTCTCCCAGATCTTGAACTGAATCTTAAACGCTCGATTGGCAGGTTTTCCCTACACCTCCTCGTCATCCTTCCAGCCCTCCCCCTTGACATGAAGAATGGGCGTTCGATCAACAACTGGATCCAGCCCCTACTTCACAAACTCTTGGGTTCTGGTGAGCTTCCCCGACTGCTGAGCCTCATCACTTCCCCTCCCACTAAGCCCGTCCCCATCTAGCACCTCGTATCCAGTATATACATGATTATACACACTGTGAACCGTTACCACATGAATGATGGCTCACCGGCCCTCTCCACCATTTCACAACCGTCACTCCTGAATGCTTGCGATGCCGCTTCGAGGCTCCAGCATGCACTCCGTACGGATAAGTTTAAGTGAGTCTTGTCAATTTATGAACAATACACCAAAGAGCAGGGCGTTCTGGCAACTTTGCCATAGCTGCATCTAGCGTGGCTCCCTGGGTCACTGCACACATGCTTCGGTACGTCCAAGCTAAGCCGTGTTGAATGGAGATCTCGATCCAGCGCAGATCCTTCGAGCGCCTCCGGCTCCACGTCTGCTTGAGAGCTAAACCTGCGGCATACGGTATGAAAACGCTCCTCCGTCGGAAACAACTCCTCCGGAACAAATTACTCTCACGACTGAGATCGCGCCTTGTAGAACGCGCCTTGCAGAACGCTAACCTCGCGTAAGAAGCGTCCACACCTATGGCGATAAGGCGATGCAACATGCTAACAACCACAACTGCGAAATGCCCTTGCTTCGCACCCCTCCCCCCCGAGCCCAAAGTTGAAGCGTCCACATTTTGCCCCTGGTCTTTGGCCGACCGCCCGAGCCCGTCAACTTTGAATGCGGGGGACGGGGGGGATACATTTTTGTCAGACGTCTTTTTACAAATCAAAGTCGTGCCGAAACACGTGTGGACACTTTGAGTCCACCCGCCGGTGCTCAGATCTGCAACCCAAGCGCGGGGGCTTCGCCAGACCCAGGCATCGGGCGTGCCTCCCGCTCTCGAGAGATTCGTGCCCTCCCGCGAGAGCGCGTGGAAGCACCCCACTGCCCCCGGCCTCCGCTCTCATCACATATCGCCTGCTACTGGAGTGCAAGGCGATCCCTTAGGAGACAACTGCTGTGAGGTCTTCGTCGGAAGGATTGAGGAGGATTGAACCTCATTGGAGAGCTGCTACGCCGGATTGGGCCGCATATTCTGCGGGATGAAGCCGGATTGGACAGGATTCAGCCAAAAAACTGGATTAAGCAACATTTCGGACCAGGGCGGAGCGGAGTGGAGTTGCATACGAAGGAGTGCAGACCGATCCCCCTTCTCTCCCATTCTCTCTTTTCCACTCCTCGCCCTTGAGCTCGCGCGTCCACCATGACTCTCTGAGCCGGGAGTGTGGGCCGAGGCCACTACCGGACCCCTCGTTCGCCCCAGCCCTAGGAATAGGGAAATGCGACACGACCACCACCACCACCAACAGCACGAGGAGCCAGGTGGAGTCCTTCTGGTGGTGGGTGGTGGGTGTGGTCCCCCGTTCGCACTCGAGACATCCAACATTACCAATTCGGAGATGCATCGTGGATCTCCGCGCTGGATATGGCCCACCTGGTGGTGGCGTCGTGTTTCTTTGTGTGGAATAATAAATCAAGAATGTGGAATAAGATGTAAGGTCGGCCCCGGCAACATGCCAAAGCAGATGCCCGAACTTGTTTCGCGGTGACGTGGGTCACGAGGCGCTGGGCAACAACAGCCGGGGAACGCGGCAAAGCTACTTGCGCACCAAGTGTGCCGGGAGAGGAAGAAAGCGGCGGCGGAGAAGGTCTTGATGAAGCACTGCGTCCTTTATGCTTTGACTGTCCTCCTCGTGCCCCCTACCCCCCAGCCCTGCATTTCCTCATGCCCTCATAGTTGGCGCTAGGCCTCGCCTGCTCACCCACTTCTCCCCGCACCGCGGGAGAGGACTAGATGGAATGAGGGGTTGGTTGTGGAGTGGAGGAAGGAGGAGGAGGAGGGAGGAAACCCTGCCCCACAAACCCAGACTTCGGACGCCGTGATTTGTTCGACCCGCTTCTTCGCTGAGTAGCTTGTCTGTGCGGGTCCGCGCATTGCTTCTACGAAGCCGAACGCAGGCGGACACAAGCATGGTTCGCTAAGCAGCATGTCTGGGAGGTCATTGACACTGTCCCTTTGTAGCCAAGTGTGGGCGGACGCAGATTTGGAATCGACAGGGCATCGGTTGTATCCTGGTGTCGCATTTTGTCTCCCGCCGGACACTGTTGTCTCCAATTGTCTCCCACTTGGTCCTCGAGTAGCGTTCGCATCCGCATCAGCATTCAGATTTGCATCCGCATTCGGACCCGCGCTCGTATTGGTATGCCTCGCATTCGCTCGGGCATCAAAAGAACTATTCGCATGAATACTGCATTCCGTAACAGCAAGTGTAACTATAGATCGTTGAATACACAGATCT